TGTAGAGTAATAGTATGTAAGCGTATAGACCGCTCCTCTATCATTATTTTGAGTAGCCGATCCAAAACCAAAATCTGGGTTTACATGAAACGTGGGAGCCTGTGAGCGTGTTAGTTTCCTGCGGAAGGTGTTATTTGCCTATACTGGGAAGAGCACTTATGCTGCGGTTTTTAGGCTAATAGAGGTTATTAGAGCCTCCCTTAATTGTTGTAGAGATGGCTAGTCCCTTCCTTTACGTAGGTTAGAAACACCCACAACCCATGCATCTCTCGTTCAATAATTGTGAATTGTTTTTAAAAGATTGCGCGCGCGCCGCGCATTTTGTTCAATTTAAAGTCAATGTTTTAAACAAATAAGTATAATTCGTATAACTTTGATTAACGTTTTAGTTATGAATATTTTCCTGCCTATACCTAAAACTTTGACTGTATTGTTATTTAGAAAATTTCTGATCATTTCGTGTAAATATGCCCAATTAGTTTTACTTAGTTCAAGTGTTATGATCAAAACAAAATGGAAGACTTTTACTTGTTTTAAAATGCACTTAACTCTATTTACAGTTAAGCTAGAAATTTCAAAATTGCTAGATAATGATATTTAGACCATAAATTGTATGTTGTATTAAAAATCATACTAAAAGGATTGTTCTGGAATTTATGAAAAGCATTTAAAGAGTGCTCATAATATATATCTTGTCAAAACGCGCGAAAACGCGCAAAATACGTAGTTTGCAATTTGCGCTTTTGCAGCCACTGTGGTCCACCCCTTTGTAGATATTATCGTTTCAACTGAGCGTTGTGTCTTACATAAACTACTGTCCCCTGACTGTCAATTACATCAGAGTGCAATTTCTGATTATATTTTTCCAGCTGAACAATGTACAACGACTGTCTATACATAACTTTTAACGCAGCATTAAGACTCTGAGCCATGCGACTTCCCTGGTTACCCTGGTTACCCTGGTTACCCTGGAGATTTCTCTTTTATCACTGAAACTCTGAACTGCTTTTAAAGTCCTATTATAATTATTACATGCAATTTACAATCCTATATCACAGCTCATATCATTCCGAATCTTACTCAATTACAAAACTTAGCAAAATTAGTTCGTATATAATTATATAACGTAACATTACGATTAATTTACAAAATGACTATAACTGACGACTGATTACTGATCACGTCTACTGGTTCAGGTTAGCACTTAGCAGCTTTATTTTCAACAAACTAATCTAACTCGTCACACAGCGATGGTTGACTTGTAGTTGTCACGTTATGTGAGTAGGCCCGACCAGAAGACACTGCAACTAAGCAACTTGCAGGTTGGCCGAATTTCACCTTTTAACAATTAAAATATTAATATAATATTACACTTTATCTGATAGATCGGTAAATACATGCTACATTCAATATTTGATTTTCATATTATTTGAGGACGCACCATTGCTTCCGGCACTAAATTGCTTGCCCAACCATGAAAGTCACGTAATAATTTTTGGGCGAGCGAATTAGTAAAAGTCTGCACCATTAGCAAAGTCTCAACTTTCATTTACATTATTAACTTATACCCGTCTTTGGATTTTGATTTAACGGGTGATACTGATTAACTGATACTCGTAAAATATTCGACCAGCGTCGATCGAGTCCAACTCAGCGCGCGTCTTGGCATAAACCTTCAAGATTTTGGTTCGTATGACCATATATGGAATAATAGCACGTGATGAAACCACGCGCATATGTAAGGACAATTTAGTTGCCTTCTGTTCTGTTTGCTTTCGTTGAGAGTTTGACTTGCGCAACGCTGAGCTTCGATCTTATACGTCATTTTAAGTCCACAATTACGGATTGATCTTATCTGTTAGTGTTATCGGTTTTCGAGGATGGCTACGTTCTTCGGACAAATGTTTTGTTATTCTCAAAATCTAGTTTTATGTTCTGTAAGTTAATTACTTAGTCAAAAAAAGACTCCATACTAGCCCTAACATAACGATCAAGCCACAAATTAGGTTCTATAATGATTTAATATTGTTGAATAAAGAGATTTGAATATAATATTTGTTTTATTCTGAATATTTGTTTTATTCTGACTAATACTATTTCTGCTATTATGAGTAAATTTAAATACTAATAGCCAATAGGTTAGGCAGACTAGTCCCATTTTTAATATTTTTACATTCTTCATTATTTGGGGTAATTTTTTGTTGTTTCCAAACCACGAATGACGAATGTAATCACTTTGTTTATTCTATGTTTATTCTGGCCCATTCATATTATTGTATAAAAGTAAACATTTTGATACAAAACACTGTAATATCTAGCAATAACTCAGAAAGGATACGAAAGGATACACAATTAGATAATAATAAGTTAGTGGGTGAAATTATCTGCAAGTCATAATTGCTAGCTTAATATATTTGTACAAATGTCGCCTCAGTGGCGTTATTGGTTATTTGATAGCCTTGGCCCTTTAACCCGGAGGTAGCGAGTTCGAAACCCGGCTGGGTCGAAATTTCAAAAATCGTCAATTAGTTCACGGATTGAAGGCTTGTGTATACATGTTTCAGAAAAATAGAACTAGTCACCCACCAACGTTATTACACAGTAATATAAGATCTAATGCCATATGATACGAGCAAAGCTACTCAGTTTATCTAACAAAGGTAACATGTAAGATATCTTGTCTAATGTTTCACCCTCCCTTGGGAATATAACAACAGAGCAGTAAACACGTGCTCTGGATAACATTAAGTAAAGTTGAGTCAGGTCCTCCACCTCCCTGTACACTCCCCACAGTACTATTACAGCTGGCCACTGAGCAGAATAACTATCCTTACAGTCACACACTGCAATCTTACTATCAGTGTTATCACATCTCATATCAACACTGTCCTCAACTAGTGACATTACACTATAACTAGGGACATTAGTAACTATACCTATATCAGAATGCTTTAATCCATCACACAATCTATATAATTCATTATTAAATACATGCACAATACTAGTAACATTGAAATCATTAAACACATGTATGACAGGTAATGTACCGTGTATAAAGTGTCCTGGTAATTGTGTAGGTAAAACTAAATCTAAAATATCTGATTTAAGAGAACATAATTTAACGAATTGATTTCTAATTACAGATAAAATACTCGATAAATCAGACGTATTTCTCAAGTTCATAGATAAAGTAGTACTCTGATGAGGTGCTAATATAGCAGTAAAACCATTAACTACGATTGAAATTTTATCTGTGCTAAATAACGCCCAAGCCTGAACATAATCACATGCTATCCACACATTCTTATCTGCTGATAATTCTAAGAACTTGTTAATCAGTTCACTCCACATTTCAGCTGTGGTTTTCCAATCAATTACTGTCTGTATATCATCAACAAACAAATGATAACCACTCAGTACACTGAGTCTATCTGTTAAATGTGTGGTTTTTGGAATACCTGTTATCTCCACAATAATAACACGACACGAACTCTCTGTAATCAGATCAGCTAGTTGTGCGGGAGTGTGACGTATACGTTTACGTGTAATAGTGTGTCGAAATTCACTAGTGCTTATCAGTTCATATTCTATCCTAGCTTTCTTTAATGCATCTTGATAATGCTGCGAATTGTTCCCTTTTCCTGTAAACTTAAATACAACTACTTTATTGTTATTATCAGATTGTATTAGCTGTATTATCTTACCACACAATATGACAGTCTTTCCCGCTCCCGCGGGTCCGTTGATCCACAACAGATTCTCATTTGAATTAAACACATCATTTTGTTGTGTGGTTAAATTTAGAACCCCAACATATCTGCTTATGACATCAGGAGCTTTTACAACCCCTGGATTTTGTTCACGATTTTTACCTTTTTTAGGCTCAAAAGTGATGCGACCCTCCTTAAGTTGTTTGTTGACATCCACAATACATTGTCCTAAACTGCACTTGGATTTATCACACGTGTCTCTTTCTGTGGCCCATATGGCTAGTAAAATGTTCCTTGCTTTCTCATGAGAATCTTGATTGTATCCAGATATTGGTATTTCTGTACTCGATACTGTTTCTTCAGAAGCTCTTCTAATAGATGATATGGCCTGAGTTACATTTTCTGCCCACCAAGCAGCAAAAGTAGATAAGTCCTCATCTGTTTTAACTAATTCCCTGTTTGTTGGATTATTGTCTGAGTCAGAAATTACTTCTCCTTCACTGCTCGTGTCATCTGTATCAGTGGTTTTATTACAGCAGCGAGAAAAGCAACTTACTAAACGAGAAAAATAGTTTTGATCAGGATAAGTCTGCTCCGTTAAACTTGTCGGCAAGTTTATCGAGGGTTCCTTTGAAAAATCTGATTTGTTGCGGCAATTGGAAATGTCCTCTTCAAATATGATAGTTGACAGTTCCTCATCACTTAACCGGAATTCTGTCATCTCACTAAGTTGAAACTCATCTTTAGACCGTTTACTAAAATTAGGATAGGCAGAAAACTGAAGAATTTTTGCATCCTTATCCATATCCTTGATCAGTCCCACTATCTTGTTTCTTTGTTTGACTGATTTCTGGAACGTTCCATTCAGTGCTCTCAACTGCTGTTCTCTGTTACACCCAGGTTCCCAGTCCTCGCCAATTGAACACAGGTGGAAGTCTGGTTCACATTCCAAAACCTCTCCAACATTCTCCATGTTCTTTACCTCTATAACAATGAAACTGTCCGCACAAATGATAAGAAAGTCACATTCCCCCTCCAGTTTTCCTGCATTTTTGCCTTTACATTTAGAACATTCTTTCCGAATGTGACTTTTACCTACACACGTACGAAATTGATGATGCGTGTATTTGAAGCTGTGGAGAACAATAAAGTTTCCATCTACCTTTTCCAAAGCCCTATACACCTTAACTTCAGTCTCGTAGTCTGACTGATGTTGTTTGTCATCTCTAAAGCTGGGACCAGGTTGATCTTCTTCTGGATATACATCAATGTAGGTCTGTTCTGGTGCTCTTGGAAGCATTGTAGGCTGGTTTTCTGCCGTTGCGCAATATTCTTCGAATATTTGTTTGCCATTTTCCAAATATTTATCCATTGCTGATCAGTTGATATATCTGAAATGAAAAGAGTATATAATGAGGGAGTGATGCGGATTCCAGGATTGATATAATATGTTCTTATCTTACAGCTCTCAACAGTATAACATCATTATAAAATTTCAACTAACAAATTATTTAAATTGGTCGTTTTTAGTGCCGGGTGGTGTAGTGGTATTTCACTCGCCTCCCAAGCGGAAGACCGGGGTTCAAACCCCGTCTGAGGCAGGCAGGCCAGGTCAACAAGCTGTGATTGGTACAGGATTTATCCTGGTAATTATGCTCGGAGGATATCAGTGACGCGATTCCCACTACAGTGTAAGCTGCAGTGTAGCTGTAATAGTCTACCGCCATTCGGAATGAGTGTGAACTTGCTTACCAGGCAATCATGATTTCCGCTTGGTACTCATCAGGTCTCTAAGAAAGCCAACAGTGTGCTGATCATGATATGCATTGTCATATGTACTTCCTAGAAGCAGCACACGGCCCATTTCGGACTTGCACGAGTTATAATTATTTTTTTAGTGCTTTTGAAAATGGTGGGTCCGAAGTTTGTTACAGTGACAGAATTTCATATTGTCCTATAAAGCATTAGTTAAATTGCTCGAAAAGTTTATGTAACTATATACTCTGAGCAGTCTTTAAATAATAAGTACCTACTGCCTAAAGTTTAGTTACTTTGTTGAAATTAGGAGGAGGTTTTTTTCTCCTATTATTTAATTATCAAGCAGTGTATTCCAAAAATGTATATAATCTGTATCATGTATGATGCTCCTGCAATTGCTATTAAGTTGTTTGTAATATTTTTTCCCCCAAAAATGTTGGCACTTTCATGTAGTTATTTCATTTTTATATCAAGAATTACCTAGAAGCGCTTTCTGATCTGAAATTTCTTAGTCCGGATAAACTATATTAATCATATTTATCATTGGCTCCACAATATTTCTATTGCCCAGTGTCCACCTTAACAATCATACAAATTACATAAACAAATATTTTAATTTGGTACCTGGTGTCGAGAGACTGTTAAAATTCGTAATTAATTGAGTTAGTGAGTTGATTTGATCCTCTCTTTGAATCCTGAAATACTCCATGTTATTTTTCTTATACTTTACTTCAATTAATCATGGCAGCTGTAATTTATGATAATATAAAATTAGCTGTAACGTTATCAAAGAGTATTGCTGGGAAATGGGGAGATTAGGTTTGGCCTCTATACAGCCATAATGCAGCCACAATACGACCTTGATACGGCCACCATACGGTCTCTATTAAACAGCCTCTATACAGCCACGATACAGCCACTATACGTCCTTGATACGGCCACCATACGGTCTCTATTAAACAGCCTCTATACAGCCACGATACAACCACTATACGTCCTTGATACGACCACCATACGGTCTCTATTGAATAACCTCTATACAGCCACGATACAGCCACGATACGGCCTCTATACAGCCACGATACAGCCACAATACAGCCACTATACAGCCTTGATACGGCCACCATACGGTCTCTATTAAATTACCTCTATACAGCCACGATACAGCCACTATACGTCCTTGATACGGCCACCATACGGTCTCTATTGAATTACCTTTATACAGCCACGATACAGCCACTATACGGCCTTGATACAGCCACCATACGGTCTCTATTAAACAGCCTCTATACAGCCTCTATACAGCCACTATACGTCCTTGATACGGCCACCATACGGTCTCTATTAAACAGCCTCTATACAGCCTCTATACAGCCACTATACGTCCTTGATACGGCCACCATACGGTCTCTATTAAATTACCTCTATACAGCCACGATACGGTCACGATACAGCCACTATACGGCCTTGATACAGCCACCATACGGTCTCTATTAAACGGCATCTATACAGCCACGATACAGCTACTATATGGCCTTGATACGGCCACCATACGGTCTCTATTAAACGGCATCTATACAGCCACGATACGGTCACGATACACCCGCTAACGGCCTTGATACAGCCACCATACGGTCTCTATTGAATTACCTTTATACAGCCACGACACAGCCACTATACGGCCTTGATACGGCCACCATACGGTCTCTATTAAACGGCTTCTATACAGCCGCTATACGGCCTTGATACAGCCACCATACGGTCTCTATTAAACGGCATCTATACAGCCACGATACGGTCACGATACACCCGCTAACGGCCTTGATACAGCCACCATACGGTCTCTATTGAATTACCTTTATACAGCCACGACACAGCCACTATACGGCCTTGATACGGCCACCATACGGTCTTTATTAAACGGCTTCTATACAGCCACGATACGGTCACGATACAACCGCTAACGGCCTTGATACAGCCACCATACGGTCTCTATGGAATTACCACTATACAGCCACAATACAGCCTTGATACGGCCACCATACGGTCTCTATTAAACGGCTTCTATACAGCCACGATACAGCCGCTATACGGCCTTGATACAGCCACCATACGGTCTCTATTAAACGGCCCCTTGTAGTGTATCTTTTGTTGAAGCAACTTATTATTTATTCTTAACTTTATATTGCCTTGCCAGAGAGCTGAAACCCTATCTGTTTGGCTGGCAATTATGTAGCTGTTGCTACGATAATGCCTGAGCTCTCATGTTAGATCCATTGTAAAGTATATACGCGCCCTCCAAACAGGAAGTGTATGAACTTATGCATCACAGAGCTAGTGGTATTGGATAAATGAGCTCAGTTCTTCTAAGGCTTTTTGGAGTTGGTCACTTGTCCTAAACAGAGTCCTATGCACCTTGCAAACTAAGCTCTTGGTGACTCCATGCCAGTAGGTTTATGAACAGGGGTGTTGCCATGAGAGGTTCCGACTGGGAACTCTGACAATGTTGAACGATTTTTCATGCTATTCCTTTTGATGAAGTTCACGAGTCCTTAATTATTTTATTATTACTATTATTTAATTATTTGAACTGTTCAAGTCTTTCTTGACTAAATCAAAGATACTAAAGACAAAGTAAAGTGCACAACCACAAGTTAAACCTTGTAGATGTAAGATTGGCCACAAGGACGAACCTGGGAAAACACCTGAACACTGGGCAGTGTCTTTAAGGCAACTCTTACTTACTACACTCTATACAGCCACAATACGGCAACGATACAGCTACTATATGGCCTTGATACGGCCACCATACGGTCTCTATTAAACAGCCTCTATACAGAGGCCTCTATATTATATTTAATTTCCTTCTAATTAATCAACCAATTAAACAACTAATTAAGAACGAATACTGAGGGAAGATTGAGTTATCTGAACACTGTAAAACATTGACAAACCTGATAATATAGCTGGTAGTATAGAGTCTTCACAGGATTGACTAAAGTTAGGAAGTAGTTTCTTGAATAAGTCGTTATGATCTTCTACTTCTGTTCACTGAAATCTGATATACTCCACGTGAGTTTTCTAAACTTATAGTTTTAACTTTGAAATAGCGTGCTGGCTGTTGTATTATTAAATGATACTAATATATTAAATTTCCTTCAAATTAATCAACCAATTAATTAACTAATTAAGAACGAATACTGAGGGAAGATTGAGTTATCTGAACACTGTAAAACATTGACAAACCTGATAATATAGCTGGTAGTATAGAGTCTTCACAGGATTGACTGAAGTTAGGAAGTAGTTTCTTGAATAAGTCGTTATGATCTTCTACTTCTGTTCACCGAAATCTGATATACTCCACGTGAGTTTTCTAATCTTATAGTTTTAACTTTAAAATAGCGTGCTGGCTGGTGTATTATTAAATGATACTAATATATTAAATTTCCTTCAAATTAATCAACCAATTAAACAACTAATTAAGAACGAATACTGAGGGAAGATTGAGTTATCTGAACACTGTAAAATATTCACAAACCTGATAATATAGCTGGTAGGATATAGTCTTCACAGGATTGACTGAAGTTAGGAAGTAGTTTCTTGAATAAGTCGTTATGACCCTTTACTTCCGTTCACTGAAATCTGATATACTCCACGTGAGTTTTCTAAACTTATAGTTTTAACTTTAAAATAGCGTGCTGGCTGTTGTATTATTGAATGATACTAATATATTAAATTTCCTTCAAATTAATCAACCAATTAAACAACTAATTAAGAACGAATACTGAGGGAAGATTGAGTTATCTGAACACTGTAAAATATTCACAAACCTGATAATATAGCTGGTAGTATATAGAGTCTTCACAGGATTGACTAAAGTTAGGAAGTAGTTTCTTGAATAAGTCGTTATGATCTTCTACTTCTGTTCACTGAAATCTGATATACTCCACGTGAGTTTTCTAATCTTATAGTTTTAACTTTAAAATAGCGTGCTGGCTGGTGTATTATTAAATGATACTTTAAATTAATCAACCAATTAATTAACTAATTAAGAACCAATATGGAAGGAAAATTTAATTATGTGAACACCGTAAAACATTGACAAACCTGATAATATAGCTGGTAGTATAGAGTCTTCACAGGATTGACAAAAGTTAGGAAGTAGTTTCTTGAATAAGTCGTTATGACCCTTTACTTCCGTTCACTGAAATCTGATATACTCCACGTGAGTTTTCTAATCTTATAGTTTTAACTTTGAAATAGCGTGCTGGCTGTTGTATTATTAAATGATACTAATATATTAAATTTCCTTAAAATTAATCAACCAATTAAACAACTAATTAAGAACGAATACTGAGGGAAGATTGAGTTATCTGAACACTGTAAAATATTCACAAACCTGATAATATAGCTGGTAGTATATAGAGTCTTCACAGGATTGACTAAAGTTAGGAAGTAGTTTCTTGAATAAGTCGTTATGATCTTCTACTTCTGTTCACTGAAATCTGATATACTCCACGTAAGTTTTCTAAACTTATAGTTTTAACTTTGAAATAGCGTGCTGGCTGTTGTATTATTAAATGATACTAATATATTAAATTTCCTTCAAATTAATCAACCAATTAAACAACTAATTAAGAACGAATACTGAGGGAAGATTGAGTTATCTGAACACTGTAAAATATTCACAAACCTGATAATATAGCTTGTAGTATAGAGTCTTCACAGGATTGACTAAAGTTAGGAAGTAGTTTCTTGAATAAGTCGTTATGATCTTCTACTTCTGTTCACCGAAATCTGATATACTCTACGTAAGTTTTCTAATCTTATAGTTTTAACTTTAAAATAGCGTGCTGGCTGTTGTATTATTAAATGATACTAATATATTAAATTTCCTTCAAATTAATCAACCAATTAAACAACTAATTAAGAACGAATACTGAGGGAAGATTGAGTTATCTGAACACTGTAAAATATTCACAAACCTGATAATATAGCTGGTAGTATAGAGTCTTCACAGGATTGACAAAAGTTAGGAAGTAGTTTCTTGAATAAGTCGTTATGATCTTCTACTTCTGTTCACTGAAATCTGATACACTCCACGTGAGTTTTCTAAACTTATAGTTTTAACTTTAAAATAGCGTGCTGGCTGGTGTATTATTAAATGATACTTCAAATTAATCAACCAATTAAACAACTAATTAAGAACGAATACTGAGGGAAGATTGAGTTATCTGAACACTGTAAAATATTCACAAACCTGATAATATAGCTGGTAGTATAGAGTCTTCACAGGATTGACTAAAGTTAGGAAGTAGTTTCTTGAATAAGTCGTTATGATCTTCTACTTCTGTTCACCGAAATCTGATATACTCCACGTGAGTTTTCTAAACTTATAGTTTTAACTTTGAAATAGCGTGCTGGCTGTTGTATTATTAAATGATACTAATACATATATTAAATTTCCTTCAAATTAATCAACCAATTAAACAACTAATTAAGAACGAATACTGAGGGAAAATTTAATTATGTGAACACTGTAAAATATTCACAAACCTGATAATATAGCTGGTAGTATAGAGTCTTCACAGGATTGACAAAAGTTAGGAAGTAGTTTCTTGAATAAGTCGTTATGACCCTTTACTTCCGTTCACTGAAATCTGATATACTCCACGTGAGTTTTCTAATCTTATAGTTTTAACTTTAAAATAGCGTGCTGGCTGTTGTATTATTAAATGATACTAATACATATATTAAATTTCCTTCTAATTAATCAACCAATTAAACAACTAATTAAGAACGAATACTGAGGGAAAATTTAGTTATGTGAACACTGTAAAACATTGACAAACCTGATAATATAGCTGGTAGTATAGAGTCTTCACAGGATTGACTAAAGTTAGGAAGTAGTTTCTTGAATAAGTCGTTATGATCTTCTACTTCTGTTCACTGAAATCTGATATACCCCACGTAAGTTTTCTAAACTTATAGTTTTAACTTTAAAATAGCGTGCTGGCTGTTGTATTATTAAATGATACTAATATATTAAATTTCCTTCAAATTAATCAACCAATTAATTAACTAATTAAGAACCAATATGGAAGGAAAATATAGTTATGTGAACACTGTAAAACATCCATAAATTTAGGTATGTAAAACATCCACAAACCTGATAACCTTGGGCCGGGTAGGATAGAGTCTTCGCAAGATATAGCTCACAATAAGGATTTAGGAAATAGTCTTCTTCTCAGAATCGTATTTTAAATGTTTCTTTAATTCAGCCACTGAAAAAATACTGCTTTCAATAAACAACGGTACTCAAAAATTGAAGTAGGAACATATCACAAGTTATGATGGCTGTTATAGCTTCCCTTAGCTTTCCGTTTATTGTTTAGATATAATCCTAGCTTAAAATCAGCCTTGGTTTTACTTTCATTATGTTGTTGATCGCTTATTACTTATGTATTTCATGATAAAAACTACTATTATATACATTATACAAACTAGGCCAAAAATATATTGAGTTTTATAACTTGGCAACAACGTTTACGTTAATATAAAACTTCCATGTACCTGCCAAAACGTTATATAAATGTTTCGCCGACAAAGATGCGTCGATTAAAACAAGTTTACAAATCACTAATCAGGCCGGGTTCAGTGTAAGCTTATACGAAATCAAAAGGATTAAAGCTGAGTAACAACGAACTCTCCTCAACAAATTATTTGTGGATGTAGATTCTGCAGCTACAACTGCGGAAGACCATGATCTAATGAGTCACGTGCACTTCATGTGACCCGTTGGAGAGTGCTTTGGCTATTGAGTTACATATCACGAGGTTAGATAACGTGCCATTTCATTAGATCACTGCGGTCGCCGCGCGGTGTTATATTACTGAACAGTGCTCTCTCTTCAACATGTTGTCAAAGCCTGAAGGAAGTTATTATGGCCTGGTGGGGAGGGGACTGTTATACTCAACTCACAATTTTGTTTTATCATGTCACTATACAGTCATGGTGTAAAGATAAAGTTACAATTTACGGGGGAGGGGCCCTCTGTAGCTCTTCCTGATTGTGTCTTTTAATTACACCCTGAAGTTATCAGGATGGATCAGGGATGTATAATGTATATACATAACATTTATAACAAGTATTCAGCAGATTATTTTCCAAAACAAAATTAGTTATGATGAGGATTGAACAAGATGTGTTGCAGTGGTATTATATTTATTATATACAGTTTATTAAGCATCAACATATGCTTAACTTGAATAGCAAGCTAGTAGACGGCTGTGATATTTTCGGTACAGATTTCACTACAACGATAGACGCAAACCCATACATAATACATAATATATACACATTATATATACATAATAATATGTACATTCATGTTCGCAGCTGTAATGAGGGCCACTATAATACAAATTAATCACACCATGGTTTGGTGAATGATTAAAAGTCTACTACCGGGGTCTTATCGTGGATTTAAGGGGAGATACACCAAAAACGTTTTTGCCCCGAACATCAATTTTATTTTATATTATGGTTAAATAGACAAAAAGAATAAGATTGCACACCTTCAAAATTTTCTAAAAATATTCCCTCATCGAGAAGAAAAATATTTTTCTTTTTCGAAAATTTTTAAAATTTGGAGAAGTCTACCACTGTAATACCGATAGTTCGGCCAGTTTAAAAGTTTTTTGGCTGATTTTTTTACTGAACATTCCTTACACTCCGTACAGGACAACCCTTTAAAGGATTATATAATAGAACGATAAATGACCAAGTTACAGACCAAACTAGGTAAAAAAAGAAAAATTGGGATTTTTGCCTACCACCAAAGTTGTACATTTTACCACTCGCCCAGGTCATCAGATATCGCTTCTAAAATTCTTGTGAGTGTAGCTGATGATCATATCAAACTTTTTGGAACAGGATTTTTCTCAGTTTTGAGTTTTAAGGTATGAAATGTGGCCTCAAACGACTTAGTAAAATTCATCGTAAAAAAGGGCCAAACATGGCAGATTTGAGGCTTAAAATGCCTATTACTCAAAAAGTATCAGTTTTTTTGAAATAATTTCTACAGGATCGTAATCAGCTTGGTAAGACGAATCTTTTAATACCAAATTTATAATAGTTTAAGACACAAAATTTGTAAAAAATGTGTACAATTTGTACACAATTTATACAAGGGGGGACTGTTGTAGCGTGAGCGTAGAAATAAAACAAGTTGTTAACACGTAATCATAGAGGCTAGGGAAGAACAAATCGTTAATAACAAATTATGATAGCAATCAATGTTCAATATATATAACAATCTCCCTTCGGCAAGTTATAGCTAGTCGGCCGATGCAACTAGCTGCGCTCGCGTTTAACACGAGGAGCTAGGCGCGCGCGCAAAATTGAGGTCAGGAGGACTGTCACTTTTTAGCGCTGACTAGCTTAACGTCGCCGCGCGTTCCATACATGTGGAACAACTTTTGTGACCAAACTGGTCTTTAACTTTAACTGTCAGAAAACAGACATAAAAAATACTTTCTCCCCACAGGTCGGGACAAAATTAGCAACATTTTGCTTCTTAAACGTTAAAAACTTGTAACTCATATTTCCATAAAATTGGATTAGCCACGTTCTCTGTCGAATTATTAAAATACATATAAGTTAAATCAGGAAATCTGTAAAATTTAAAATAATGAGTGACTCTAAAAATGTGATAAAAACAGCGGTTTGACAAATATTACAACATACGGGTTTACAATGATTTCAGTTCGTGATTACTCATTCTAACTCATGGTTTTCATTTTAGTGATAGCATCACTCTTAGCACTTCTGGTTGGTCTCAAACGCGGTTCAGGTAAGGGTGCACCACCTGTAGCTGTAGGTTTGGACAACTCAGACACCCGGACTTGCTTGTCGTTGGTTTTCAGGGGGGAAGCAGCTTTCGGTTGAGGACGCTCAGTCACTTTAGCCGGTGAGGTATCCCCATGGACTGTCTTCGACTTTGGTTAGAATCTTCGCTTCAACCATATCATTTAACTCACTTTCAACCTTGTTTCTCAAGGCATAGGGTAGACTACGGGCTTTCATCATAATAGGTTTGGAGTTGTCCTTCAGGACCAAACTTGCCTGTACACCCTTAACTAGTCCTAAACCCGATTTAAACACCTCGCTCTGTTTTAACTGAGCGATACTACGACATTGATCAACCCGAGTACAGGTGTTTTCACATTTCCACCTGTTTTTCACGGTCGCACCATCGGTTAGCATGTCACCCTTATCGACACCACTCCCAGAGCAGCTTTCACAGCTCACTGACACCTGCTGGGATTTGTCTGGGGCTACATTATGTACTAACTTTGTGCTGAGCAGCTTCTCTAGCCAATTCTGTCCACAGAACTTTACAATCCACGGTCTTCCAAACAAACTGGGGAAGTCCTCTGCTACATAGAGCTGCATTCCATGAGCTTTTTCACCGTTCAACTCTACATTAACTACAGCACAGCCGTCAACTGTTTTGATTTGTCCGTTTGCAACCCGTAATGTTTGCCTGCTGGGTGTAAGTGTTAAATTGGCCAAGCCACAAGATAATAATGTACGTTTGCTCACAACAGACACTGCAGACCCTGAATCGAACTCCATAGACAGAAGTTTACCGTTGATTTCTACTTCTACATACGGTTTGCTTAACTCAATCATATTGACATTCGGAAACACATTATCAGAAACTAAACTTAAGTCAGACTTATCAGTGGTAATAGTGGAATCGGGATCACAAACAAGATAACTAAAATCAAAGGCATTAAACACCTTATCCCTCACATACATATTTGAAGATTTCGAATCAGTTAAATGAGTAAGTTTAGAGAAATCAGCACACAGATAAGAACATGTATTAGCATTACCTTTTTCAATCTCAACTGAATTACACTCATTGTCATGATCATACTCGGGGTAAAGCTCATTGTCCAAGACATTTTCACAATTCTCATCCATACCGAACTCATAACTCTCCGAACTCGACTCTCCTTGTTCAATGTTGTGAACAATGCTGTTTTGCTTGCAATTCTTGGAGATGTGTCCAATAAGTTTGCAGATATGACACCGGACTTGACAATTTTCACCAATATGTCCACGAAGTCCGCACCGTCTACATTTAAGTCCCTTTTGCATTCCACTTTTCTGCTTTCCACCCGAACCACCTGAACTTTCCCCCTTCTTCCCATAGAGGTTTTTCATTGTTCTTTTGAATGTTAGTTTCACAAAGTTCACTGATCTCGATGACTCTCCCGGTGATAACGTGCTATTCATGAATTGAGCCTCCCTGTCTTTCAAACCAGCTTTTTTGACAGCATGTGACGGTTAGTGGCTCTTTTATCCTCGTCGCCATTTGTTGTAGCGTGAGCGTAGAAATAAAACAAGTTGTTAACACGTAATCATAGAGGCTAGGGAAGAACAAATCGTTAATAACAAATTATGATAGCAATCAATGTTCAATATATATAACAGGGACCCTTGTGTTCGAGCTGGAAAATTATTTAAGACAATTTGTCTTCTAAAATCACCTATTTGGTACTAAAAGATTCGTCTTCTCAAGCTGATTACGATTCTGTAAAAATTATTTCAAAAAACTGATACTTTTTGAGTAATAGGCATTTTAAGCCTTAAATCTGCTATGTTTGGCCCTTTTTACGATGAATTTTACTAAGTCGTTTGAGGCCACATTTCATACCTTAAAACTCAAAACTGAGAAAAATCCTGTTCCAAAAAGTTTGATATGATCATCAGCTACACTCACAAGAATTTTAGAAGCGATATCTGATGACCTGGGCGAGTGGTAAAATGTACAACTTTGGTGGTAGGCAAAAATCCCAATTTTTCTTTTTTTACCTAGTTTGGTCTGTAACTTAGTCATTTATCGTTCTATTATATAATCCTTTAAAGGGTTGTCCTGTACGGAGTGTAAGGAATGTTCAGTAAAAAAATCAGCCAAAAAACTTTTAAACTGGCCGAACTATCGGTATTACAGTGACAGACTTCTCCAAATTTTAAAAATTTTCGAAAAAGAAAAATATTTTTTTCTCGATGAGGGAATATTTTTAAAAAATTTTGAAGGTGTGCAATCTTATTCTTTTTGTCTATTTAACCATAATATGAAATAAAATCGATGTTCGGAGCAAAAACGTTTTTGGTGTATCTCCCCTTAAATCTTACTATCAAGTTGTTTTAGTCATAAAGTTTGTTCTCCAACTTGCGGATGCCGGATTCTAACTTAAGTCAGTGTAGTAACTCTAATGAACTCTTAGTGAAACTCAAATTTAAAGAATAAATTAATTTTCATATTACTGTTGCCATTCTGCCGTCGACACAAGCTAGTCCGACCTGGAATAGCATTTACATTCATGAATATTGAATACAGATTCTTAATTAACTACTTGTCTTCTTTAACTCTTTATTAATCAGTGCAGGCTATGACTTGGGCTGAATTTGGTTTACGTGATTGTGATAGTAAGGGACCCGCTATGACAGCTAAGACACCTAATATACAGCCATTGTAAATATAGTGAACGATCTATCCCTGTTCCAAACATGTGAACCAACTTCGGCCGAAGTTTAACATTGGCCGAATTTAGCTATATCTTGGTTGATACAGTTCTCTGTTATATTATAGAGGTGTAATCTTTATATCTCTTTCAGAACGGAGGGAACTTGGGTCTGGACTCTGGGACCATTACTAAAACCTTATTACAACTTTACAACGGGTATCACGCAGTGAACACTGAACAGGATACGTGGGGTCACATGACGTAATG